CTGTCGGTCGGTGACCGGATTCCCTCTGGCGAGGGAATCCTAGAGAGCAGAAGAGGAAAATGAGAAAAATCGACCTAAGGATCGGGTTTTAAGGATATTTATACTCTCCCTGAAACGACGACGTTTAAGGGAGGGACCCATGTATAATTTCGCGTCTGTGTAAATTATACCGACAGTCCCTATAAATTGTACACTTTGCAATTTAATCCTTAAATGCATATTTTTGTTATTTTAATTTGGTATCCTCATTTTATTTTATTATATTTTAGTCTCTGCCATGCTTATATATATTTTAGGTAAATATCTAAATTAGCCCTTTTAATTTTAAAAATTTATATATTAACTTGTATAATTTATTATGGTTAAATTACACTGTTAATGCATATATTACATGATATTTCGAATTATGTCCATTACACTTTGATATTTTACGATTTAATCCCTGATAATTTTAATAATTTTTATTTTTAACCATAAATCGTATAACTTTTTAATTTAATCCAATAATTTTAAATTTTTAGTAATATTAATATTTATAAGTATTAAATCGTATTATGATATTTTTAAATATTAAGAAATGGTTTTCTTAAAGTAACTAGATGTCTTATTCTGATATTTTTAAATAAATGAATACCATGCTTCTATAGATCTAAAAAATATACTTACTTTATTTTTGGTTATATCATGATTTTTCGGGATGAAATATCATATGCTTATTATTTCAGTTGTAAAGAGAAATATTCGTCCTAAAATAATTTAGGGATTAGTTTCTCTTCAATTGGAAACATTGGTTTATTTTATATTTTCCCTTAGAATTATGCGATTGAATCTGAAATAATAGGATCATAAATTAAATTTATATTTGAATTCTTAAATTTTCACTAATAGAGATAATTTATAATCGTCGGGTATCAATTTTTTGGCGTTGTGGGGGTGATAATCCTTCCTCAAACGTAATCGACCACAAATCTTTTTTTTTACTAAAAGAATGAATTTTTAGTTATACGCAAACTAATTTATCTTTTAAAATGGTGTTTTCTTAAAAACTATTTTAAAAGATGGTTTTTAGGTATTCGACCTACCTAACCCAAAAGGTCGACGGCGACTCCAAAATATTTCATTAAAATCCATTTATTTACACGCTTTTCCACCAAGAAAATTCGTACCCAGACGAAAATCGGTTACGACACGGAGGAGGTTATGGTTCGGAAAATCGAGTATTTTTGTTAGTTTTCGTTTAGGAAGGAAGATGTCGGTTTGTTGATTCTTCGAAGCCCCGAGGTTTTGGATTTTGATTTGGAAACGCCGGTGATTTCGGTTATGGGAATATTGAAAAATTTGGATTGAATGCTGATGAAAGGGATTCCATTGCTAAAGAGTACCCTTATGTATTGGGGAGGAATAAAATGGCTAATTTACCCAATGATGAAAGCTTTGAACCTACATGAGTGGTTGTTTAATAATATTAAGGACGGAAATCATCGGTTGGTTTCTAATTGCGCCCTTAGCGATCTTGACAAAGACTTTGATAAGGATTCCTGAGATAGTTTCGAGAGAATTCAGTTTTCAAGAACCCCTATCCATACAATGGAGAAGTTGATTTTTTTTTTTTTTTTGCATAGGCTGGGTTTGGAGAGAATTCTTCGACCATGAAGGTTTTATGTCATGTTCATGGCACTAGTGTCGAGTTGCAAGAAAAATTCGACAGTCTTCTCGGTATGGGGATTACGTTCTCGAAACTTTGCAAGATAGTACAAACGACACCGAAAGTTCTAAACCAGAGTCCCGAAACTATAGGGCGGAAGCGGAATTTCCTTCGCTACGAAATGGGTGTTTCTTTGGACTACCTTCATATATTCCCAGCATTTCTATGTTTCAACTTAGAGAAACGGATTAAGCCTAGGTACAGATTCCACAAATGGCTTACGGAGAACGATTTGTGCGCTCGAAACTACTCCATTGCGAGCATAGTACAACCGGTGAAAAGAGTTTCGTTGCCCGTCTTTCTTGTATCCATCCCGATGCTCCAAAACACTGGTTAGAGAGGTTCTCCTACCAGTGATAGTAGCTAGGACCGATAACATTGTCTAGATTTGGTTGCCCCAAATATTGATTTTTGGACTGATATCCATTCTCCAAGTGAAATGGATGTCTTTCTTCTCGGTCAATATCTTTCAAGTTGCAACTGGTAAGATGGTATATAGCTATATTGCTTCGACTCTCCAATTTTTTTTTTATCGATATCCGATGCATGTTTAGACATAGACGTGAGTAGAAGGATACGACCCTTCTAAATACGTGAAAATTTTGAAAGAAAACTAGATGTTGAAACACAAGGACCATAAAAGAAAACCGTTAAAAACCTAATAAAACAACTCGAACAAAAGATGAGTAAGAACAAATATGACATTATTGACAAATAAATTATAAAAAAAGATTAAATTATTGAAAGATCACTGATAAATCATAAATTAGTGTTTAACGAAATGAAAAAAATAATATTAACAAATAAATACAATCTTAATTAGTTGTGGTGATGTTAAATTTAATTTTTAAAAATAAAATAAATAAAATAATGATTAAATAACAAAAAAAAACATGTACGAGGAAAACATGCCAAATATAATAGACTTTAATTTATTCATAGATAAATTTCATATATCTTTATTTATTTATTTATTCATTTTCATTTTCACAATATTTACTTAGCCGTAAAAACAATATTTAAGAAAAGAAAAAAAAATCTTAAAGAAAAATCTGTCTAACTTGGTATCAATAACATTTTTTTATAAAAATGGTTTCTGTTTTATTTCTTTGGGTAAATTACAAATTTAATCACCAAACTTTACTCTCTCTCCTATTTTACTTACTGAACTTAAAAAAATTTTAATTTCCTCATTGAACTTAATATATTTGAATAGTTGTCATTTGGAAGTTGAAAATAAACCAAACCGTTTTGTAATCACAATATGATGATTTTTCGTCCGGTGAAACTTGGCCTAATCCGAGTTAGGCTTGGTAGAGCTAGTAAAATAGGTCCAAGTCTCAAAGCTTGCTTTTGAGTCGAGTCTAAAAGTTGATTCAAGTATGAGTTGATCCGAACATGAGAAAATTCGAGTTAAATATTTTTAAAATTTTAACAAATAGAGTCAGATATTAATATAATCTGAAATAGAATCGATTTAATCAAATTAGTTTGGTTTAATTGATTAACTCTTTTATATTCGGCTTTAAGGCTTAACTAGTAAAAAAGCCTATAAAATAATTAAAAAAAAGTAAGCCATTAATTAAAATCATAGGCCATATTCTAGAAAAAATATTTAAGAAAATAAAAAAATCTTAAGAAAAACCTGTCTAACTTGGTGGGATGGAGAGTTTACTTTTAATCAAATTCTCTTGTATCTCCGCAAATGGTGGCTTCATTTTAGTTCTTTTAAGGTTAGGATGTCCGGAGTTCGGTTTTTATCGAATTAACCAATTGAATTAAAGTTTTTTCGATTAATTGATCAATTAATTTTTTTGTTCAGTCGATTAACGGTTAAGATTTTTCAAACTTCGATTATCGGTTAATTCGGTTCGAAATTGATTAATTAACCGAATTAACTGAACTTTTAAAATTTTAATATATTATATATATTATTTAGCCTTATGAGTGTTTAAATTTCGGTTTTAGTCCAATTAACCGATTGAATTTACCAAAAATATTAAATATATAATATATATTATACACCCTTATTTAAGGTGTGTGATTAACCAAAACGATGGATTAAACACACTTATTTAACCAAACCGACGGATTAAACACCCCTATTTAAGGTGTGTGATTGGCTTCTTTCTTAAAGTAAAATGTTTGTGCACCATATGTTTTTCAAGTTGAATGTTTAATCTGTATGCTATTCATATCCTTATGTTTACATGTGATTTTTCGTATTTTCGGTTCACGTTATATGGTTGTTTCGATCAGACCGGTTCGAGAGTCCATAAATGGCAGGGGACGTTACATTCGAAAGTTGCAGCAGAAATGAAATTAAACTGAAACTTTTAGAGCCTTCATGGCATATTCAAAACATGTGAGGATCAAATTGTAATGAACATAAAAGTGGCATGGCAATAATGTCATTGAACCAGCTTAGGATTTGATCATGAATTTTCAAATAAAATTTCAATTAAGATAACAATTCATTTGAGTAATATAATTTCAAAATATACGAAGATTGATTATTATCTAATTTGGCTATCCACACTAATAAGAATGTATATAGAGTCAAGTGATACGATGATGTCTTACAGTAGGGGTGAGCAAAACTTGATTTAACTCGAAAAATTAAATTTTTCGATTTAAATTAACTTCGAGTTATAAAATACAATTCGAATAATAACTCGAATAACTAGACATTTTTATTAATTAGTGAATTTATTTTTAAGTTTGAGTCGATGTCACTTTGTATAATATATGTATATCACATATGAAAAAATATATATGTATTGTATATGGTTATAAAAAATACTTAAATTGATATTAAATAATATCATAATATGATAAATATTTATAATTAAATTTAAATAGAAACTCAAAAATTTGACTCGACTCGAAAATATTTCAAGTCAATTTCGAGTTGTAAAATAGAACTCGTCAACTCAAATAACTCGAAATTTTTTGACTTAATTTGACTCGATCGAATGCTCATCCCTATTCAAAAATACCAAGATATAAACTCTTAGCTAGGATTCGAACTCCTTATCTTACTTAAAAGAATCTAATACTTCATCACAATAGTATTGATACCTAAATTTTAATCTATTCATAAATAATTTTCATATATCCATATTTATTTATTTATTTATTTTATTTTCACAATATTAACCTATCTATAATAACAATATTTAAGAAAATAAACTAACAAATTTAAATGTTAAGCAACTCGATATTATTAAAATAAAATATCAAGTTTAAATTATTATGAATGTAGAAAATTCTCGTTAAGAGAACCACTCGTTTAACTTAGTTGTGTATCAAGCAGTCGGAGAAAAGCAGCTCAAAAGCTGGTCTAGAGGAGGAAGACAACTAATGGAGGCGGAGGAGACCGGTGGCTACACCGAAAAAACCCGCATCGCCACCCACTGGTATTGGGCCATAGCGAGCGTAACCCAGCTCGGATGGGCAGTATCTTCGTATCGAAAAGGTTATGCCGGCGACCATCGTTTGATGCCCGTCAAAGCCTTCGGCGTCCCTTCCTTGTTCCTCGGCGCCTTCGCCACTGCATCCGTCGCTTTCCTTAAAGCCTCCGGCATTCACAAAGTATATCTACTCGTGTTCGCGTCTTCAAAATCTTCACCCTCAACCTTTCACTGAATGTAATTAAAATTTGTTTTTGTGATTTCATTTCTTCATCAGGTGGAAGATCTGATGGATGTAGGAGCGAGTATAAGAAGTGGACTTGGAATTCGTCCGAGGGCAAGGGATAAATGAGTCCTCGTTTGCCGTTTCTCTTTTGAAGAGCTTTCCGGGTTCTAATTTCTCTTCCCTTTCAATTCCTTGTATTTAACTAGATTTGCTTTCGTTTTGTCTGTTTATACTCTCTTTGTTTATCATAATAATCAAACAATTAGCTCTACAGTATCAATCTCTGTCATTCATTGTCAATAACCAAGTTGTGAATAAACAAATGTAATCCAAGCTGAACATAATGATAACCCAAACAGGCTGCTTCAAAATGCTTTAGAATCATATGCACTTTGGCTGCCTTTTGAACTTTCAAGTCTCTGGTTATCCAAGTAAAATTGAAACACGCCCATTATATAATTTATCTTGCTAGCATTTTAAAAAAATTGCTAAAATCTGGATGAACCGAGGGGTGCTGAAGGTACTTTCATACCACGTGAAAGCTTCAAATATTCATATAGTTTAGATATTTTTTATCGATGATCTAAACTATATTTTTTTTATCGATGATCTAACTTTGCAGCTTACAACTCTTTGTTGTACTGCTCTCCAAGTGTGATTGTTCCCCTTTCTTCTTTACCATGGCAAGTATTTGTGAAATAAGAAATAACTCTGATTGGAAGAGAAAAAAAAAAGGCGTTAAAAGACCCTCTTGGCCCACCCTAAACACTCTAAGATCATTTTTCAAATCTGCTCCCATTTTTTGAGTCAAGAGAGATAAATAGACATATCACATTGCATTGATCATGGGCGTTAATAGTGACTGAGGGGATCAAAGACTAAGAAGTGAATTATTTATCAGCCAAGCATTCTTCTTACGGTTTGATCCGGTCTCCTGGTCCCTGTGGAAAGGAAAAAGAATTTCACCTTCTTCCTTTCCAGGAGGATTAGGAAAATCCTATTGATTACAGCTTTCTTATTAAGATCTTAATTCAGTTTGTAAGTAAATTTTGAATACGAATTTCATGTCCTTCCTCCTAATCCCTGTGAAAAGGAAAAAGAATTTCACCTTCTTCCTTTCCAGGAGGATTAGGAAAATCCTATTGATTACAGCTTTCTCATTAAGATCTTACTTCAGTTTGTAAGTAAATTTTGAATACGAATGTATACACAAGTATCCTCAACTTTTTTTTTTCTAGATTAACTTGCTATTTTTGTTTGTTCTTTCATATTTTATTCATATGTAAGTCTTACCGTGTGTGAGTTGTCTAATTTTAAGTCCGATGGTAACTATTCAGTTGTGTATTATTAGCACTTGCGATTGTAATTATTCTTGAAACTTAGAAAAAAATTAACCTTGGAGTCAAGTTACCTCAATAGTTAAAAGGAAAGATGTTATTCTTGGAAGTCCTAGGTTCAAGCACCAAAGATTGTAGGACTGATAAATTTTCATTGTCAAATGATTAAAAATGTTTAGAACATATATTATCATGTAAACACCCTAAATTAATTAAAAAAAAACCCTTGAGAACTTTTCCTTGGCACTACAATTGGGGGATGGGGAAAGGGTTGGTTTGATCCAATTATTACAACAGGCTCATCCAGGACAGTCTGTCCATACAAATCAGGTCTTGAATAAGATTTTCACAAATTTTAAACAATCTAACACGACCCAAATTGATATTTAATAACAAATGTTTATTTAATGTTAATTTAATCTATAAAATATATAAATGTTAACATGAAAATATAAGGCAGGGCTAGGATTAGGCGGGGTAGACAAATCCATACCATGCTGAAGCCACTGCTTGTTATGTTTCAAATGCAATGCTTTAATTGAATGCAGCACTTGGCAAATTCCTTTGTAAATTGTGTGATGTATTTTGCACCACAGCTAGAACACAAATACTACACAAGACCCAAACGGGAGGAGGAAGAGGAGATGAATTGATAAAAATCATCAACATATCAAAATTTATATAAATATAAAAAATCACAAACATGACTACACCCAAAATCGATACACAAACATGACACTGATACATGAATCGATATGTCTACACGAAGTCACATGATTGAATCAGTCCCATTAGTTCCTTCCCTTGAGAAACACTAGCAAAATCAAACTCACTCATTTCAAAGAAAACCTTATAATGATGCTATTATAAGTGCTCTCTTTCCTCACCACAACAAATAAAAAGAAACTTATCCACACAAAAAAAACAAATAAAAAGAATACAAGAGTAAATTAGTTTCCTTCAACATGTTACAAACATAACCTATCATTAAAACCGAAAATTAAGGAGAAAAAATAGAAACAACAAATAATACTAACAACTCTATTAAAATCTGTGCAGGCCAAAAACTTGAGTCAGCAGAGTACAGAATTTGATCAATTCTGAATAATCTGCGAACATCATGAAATACTGTATAACTTATGTCCAATCAACTTGGAACCAAACATGCAAATGCTGTGATTTGCACTGACTAAACATGGATTCCTGTCTGGATTCCTTTCCAACAACTCTCTAATATAACAATACATGGAACCTGTGAGTGTTCATGTCTCTCGGCGGTGCAAGCCCATGGAAGATGCAGGCCAAATCCCATGGACTAGCAGTCGTGATGAGAGCTCTGATGTCAGATATAAACAGGTTCAACATCATTGGCACTGAAGCTTGCAGCACACACCGGACACTTGTGGTGACGGCTTTCGGTGATTTTCTGTACACAAGGGTTGCAGAAGAGATGGTAGCATTTTGTAATAACAACCTGGAGAAAGGACAAAACATCTATAAGAAAATTGGGAGATAGACGGGGAAGTTTCCATATATTTGGAGGATCGTACCCCACACCTTATATAACACAGAAGCATGCATCCTATCCAATTGTCAGCATAAATGAGAACAAAAGCTCAAACTACAACAAGGGCCTAATTGGAATGCCATATTGAAATACTAATTCAGAATTGCACATTTGCCTCTTTCGCTCTGTCAAGACAGATACTGCACTTCAGTATTTCTCTATACTCTCTAAGTTCTTGTTGAAGCTTTTCAAGTTTTCAACCACTGAGTTGCCTTCTGTTTTCGCTCGAAGATGTATTACCTTTCTTCTCACCATTTCCAATTCTTCCTCGATTCTTTTCTTGTTAAACCTAATAAACGAATGACGTGCAGAAAAACAGACATGAGTTCACCCTATGCATTAAGACAAAATGGAAACATATAGGACTAATAAATTCAGTCACCTTTCTCTCTCTATTTCAATCTGCACTTCCACTAATGTCGCTCTACTTTTCTCAATCTTCGATTGAGATTCCTCCAGTGACTCCCTTGCTTGATGAGATGATCTTCTAGTATCCTACAATCGCTTTTGCGTAGTTTCCAACAAAACTGACTTTTGAAATCTTCTCCAAATTTGTGAACCTGGTCTGAGCAGAACCTCATCTGCAAAAGGAAATGCTCAAGACTACAATGGCTTTAGAAGTTTATTTCATACAACTTAACACATTCATTATCATACCTGATCCTCAATTCTCCCAGCTTTCTTATTGTAAAAATCAAGGGATGCACTGGCTTGCTGAATCTCCTCCATGGTATGTTTCTCCAATAGTAGTGTGTCTTGAAGCTGTTTTGCCCTCAAACCTTCTAAAACAAGCTGTAAAGGACCATTAAAGCAAAATCAAGTACTAGGAGCAAATATATAAGTCTATGCAGAAGACCATGGATGCTCTTCAAGAACAAGTTCTCTACATGAAGGTAAATGTCAAGAAATAGAATAAAGAATGCAGACGCCCCAAGTCCTTTACAAGAATAGGTTAAAACAAAACCACAGATATTAACCAGATAAGAAAGTTCATCGGTCTTTAATACCATCGTTCTAGCAAATTTCAGTGATGTTTAGGCTGATTAAAACCATGGCCCTGTTATAGTTGGAGGGTTAGGCTACTAAAAAAAATATCAATCCCTGCTACAAAATAGATGGAATCTCAATAAAATTTTACATAAACGAATGAGCAGATTACTGGCAGAGGAGAATATATATGAATCTTCATATCAACAATTAACACCCAAATGAAGACCAAGCACCATACACACCTAAACATGTTCTATCTTCTTATGTCATTAACTCAAGCGAAATAATGCATTCCTAATTGTTAGTTTCCCGTGTTAGTTTGCAAGTGAAGATTTCTATTCCATGAGCAAACATCTTTTGCTTGGTTATGCAAACATACACCAAATAAAATCAACTCTAATGGGATCTCCAAATATCATACACCAAATAATTGATCACCTTGATGTTATAGTCGTCTCTTTCTGTAATTTGCTGCAATCGCTGCTGGTTTTGTGTTTGCATGTCATCATATGCCTGCCCAATCGACTGAGGGAAAGCCAAACTAACAGCTATATCAAAAACTCATGATAAGTAAGCCTCATTTTCTTCATTTTTGGATTTCAAAGCACCTGAAACAACACTAGAATTAACACTTTTCACTTGCTTCTCATAAACCCGTTGTTTAATAAATGAAGGTAGCAACAACATGAAAACCAGGTTCCCAATACATCTACATTCTGGTTAATGGGAATTTCAACAGAATATTGTTTGTGGAATTGTCTAGAGTCTAGACACAAGAAATAGAGATTTGCCTAATGTTGATATAACAATTGCTGCAAAATGAATTTAGACAACATCCCCGTCCTAAAGAAAAGGTATGTAGAAATAAGAAACTTAAATTGGTGACATCATATTGTGGAATTAATAGGATCTGGTAGTATATATAATAAAAAAATGAAAAGGGTAAAATTTAACCTGTTAGACGCCTCCAGTTTGTGTCGCAATTCAGCAATTTCAGCTTCGGCAGCAGCTAACCTTTGCTGGGACATTGCTTCAGCTTCGTTAGCTGTCTTAACACGCAATTCCAAATTATGCTCATCAAGTCGGGATTTCAAACTTTGAACATGAGCCCATGCCTTGTATTCTGAATCTTTCACTTCCAAAATATCTCTGCAATCACAGAAAAACAAAATGTAAGAATCTGGAACTACGCATCAAGAAGAACCAAATCAAGGCTAGCAAGATCTGCACTTCGATTATAGCACAATATAACCAAAGGTAGTATATCAGAACCGGTGATAACATAAGATATGCTGACATTCTCCTGCACCTCAGCTGCTAATAATTTCCAGTAAAGAAGAAACAAACGCTTAGTCTAACTCCAAGAAGCACTGAAGGGAGGAATTTTGTGAAAGATTTCTCAAAGATTGCTCTTCTGACCAGAATATTCTATGGAAAATAAATTCGAATTCAACATATCCAATCAGATTGCAGAAGTTACAAAAGAATGCATCTTGTATTAGATAATCGGACCTTGAATCGGTAAACTCACGTATATACATATCCAACATCAATTTCATCTCCATGTCACTGTCCTTCAAATCCTGGACCTAACAAATGAAAATCAAAATAATATCTAAACAATATATTTTCCTACTCGGAGAAAAAAAAGGCTTAATAAAAGATGGATAAGCAAAAGAAAGAGGATCTTTAAGGTCTTTAAGCAATAGAGGGAATAACCAGACAACTTATATAAGTACAAACCTTCCTATCAAGAATGCTGGAAAGAGATTGCACGTCAGCCCGGAGAGAATGAATATCCGCAACAGCCTCTTTGTACTTGCCTAATTGGCTCTGGATCGAACTCATTGCCTCCGGAAATGAAGAAAGCAGGTTTTTAAAGTCCGCAATTATTTCCTTTCTTCCTGGAATTTAAATGTATATTAAACTGATTTTCTGCAAAAGAATAGCGATAAGATGAAAACAATAGATATGTTCCTACCTGGTTCTCTAGATGCCTCTTCCAGCTTAGCTTCAATCCTCTTTCTTTCATCAATTTGTCGCTTTATCTCTGCCCCAAGATAATAAGCTTGAGAATTAGAAACTGCCAAAGATCTCTGAAAAACACCAGCTATATCATTCTTTACATTCAACTCTTTTTCTCTCCAAGCCAGGTTATCTTTTTCAACCTAAAAATTTTAGTAGGGAAGATATAGTTAGCATTGGAATTGAAAGTCCTCCACAAAATTACAGAAAAAGGCATAAATGAGACTACCGACCAGTAACAACCTGTAGTTTCTCAAATAAATCTTGATAACAGAAGACTTCTGACTTTGACTTTTCAAGTTGATCTCTCGCCAAAAGGAATGCTTGGGAAGAAGAAATACACTTTCACTCTTCAACTTGTTCTGTTAATGAGAAACCCCCATTCAACATATATGACGAAGTAGAACGGAAAGTCGGAAATAAAGGAAAATGAAAACTAAAACAATAACTTAAAAAAGGCAAACCTGCAAATTCGATAACTGCTGTAATATTTGTATTCTTTCTTCATGAAGACTTTTTAGCCCTGTCAGTCGAGAAGATGCTTGTTCCTGTGCAACTCAAATAGATCATTGCATCAACTTTTAGATTTAGAAATTTCACAATATAACTAGAAGGAAAAAGGAATTACTGTCAGCTCTTTTAGGGAAGACTCCATTTCATGCAGATCTCTATGCTTATCTTTGACTTTATCACCAGAAATGGTCTTACTGCCTAGTTTCAAGATAGGGAAAAATGCCCCGTTCGTTGCATCTTTTTCTGCTTTAATAGCTGCCAATTTGCAGTTACTTTCCTGCAGTTCTGCAACTGCACTCTCGAATTCACCTTCAAACAAGAAGAAAGCAAACAGAGCCAATCAAACTTGCAGATATCTTAATTACATTTCCTACCTTGATAATTAACTTGCATTTGAACCACAGCCAAGGGTCAGCACCCATTGATTTACATAAATTTACAAGTAGTTTTTATCAAATGAAGCAAGCAGCTTTTGTAAGTCGAAAGAATCGTGTGCATTACATAAATTTACATGAATTTGCATGTGTGTATACTGATTTTTGTTTTCTACCACACACATGCAAGTTTATTTTATCATAAAAATATTATGAACATCTATGCACGCCAAATCTGCTTAGGCGGTAACTTATAAATGTGACATCTAGGCAACTGATAATGTAGTCACCACTTTTTAATCTAGGCAAAAGCACAAGTCTGATAACATATAGAAATTACCTTTCAGACATTTAAGCTCAGCTTTATTTTTTGCATCAGTATCTCTATGGTGCTGCAGTTCTCTAGCGAAAGATCTGTGTTTCAAATGAAATCAGATATTGCGATTCTCAAATTTTTAACTTCCGATTCCAGTTCTGCCAGGTGCCTGCATGAGCCTAGCTAAATAGACATGCATACAGTTAACTAAGCAGTAACCCCAGTAAAAAGTAAAAAACAAAAAAGGGAAACGTTACTTTTTACATACCATCATTCTGAAGCTCTTTCTGAACCGCGGCATATAACCCATCCTTCAAGCACCACAGGTTATCGATGGAAACTATTATATTGTGTAAAATGTACCTAGTCTTTTCAGAAGCAGTATTTTCTCTATCTTCTGTAATCTGCTCGGGGCAATTATTGGAATAGGAACTTTCAGTTGCACTTGTCTCCATAAGTCGGCTAAGAAAATCATCCTCAGTAAGAAATGGAGGTCCGCCTACATGGCAAAGCAAAAGCCTTCTTAGCCAGTATACTTGAAAAACAGTTAAAAACTAAAAAGAGGCAATGGAAGAATTATATAAAACTCCTAGAAATCAGAACTGCCAAATTTAGCTCAACCTTGGAAGTTATAAGAAAGAAAGTATTGTCCCTGGAAATATGTTACATTTCATCAAAAGGGGCTACAGCAACAATAACTAAAGACCAAAGCATGGCAGAAGATTCTCAACTTTTGCATTTGGTGTACATCCAACATCCTGTCCACTAGACTTTCTTCTGTAGGTGGAACTTGATTCCAAGTCAGTAATCAGCTATTGTAAAAGAAATAATGTCAATTTCCCATCAAGCAGTTTACTAAACAAAACCTAGAAGGTATAAAATATGATTCCAGTCTTTTCATAAACAGCAGAAAATGCATAAAATTGTTTAACGGTTAAACAGGGACTTACTGCTTCCCAAGATTTATTCACCGCTTTCAATATAGAACCGTATGGCTTTTGTTTCTCCTTCAGTTGAATGAACTTGGTCTCAAGAGTAGAATACTCGACCTTCTGAGCCTCTAACTTTTGTACAAGCTTTTGATTCTGAATATTTTTAAAAGTTCTCTTTAAGTCCCAATTTTTTGAATTTTAATTTAAGCTTTTAATATTTTCAAAAAAAAAATTTAATTAGATACCCCAATTTGCTTTAGTTAAGATATGTCATCGGGTGATATATGTGTTGGTTAATTAATAAATATATGAGTTGTTTTGTTAAAAGGTTGATTCAATTTAAATAGGGTAAATTATGTATCGAGTATCTAAACTATCAGTTTTAATCTGTTTTAGTACCTAAACTTTTAATTTTTTTTCAAAATCATACCTTATGTTTAGTTTTTGTTTCATTTTAATACCCCGTAACTAAAAATTTAACGAAACTTTTGCATGTGACGTTTTATGGGTAAATTACATCATTCATCCATTAATTATCTTCTCACTCCTATTCAAAGTTTAAAAAATTTCAATTTAAATTCTCAACTTTCAAATTGCTCATGTTTTAATCACTCTAATTATTTTATTAATAATATTTTGTGACATGATATTATTTTATTAATAGATAATTAAAATAAAAAAAATTTGAAAGTTAGAGTGATTAAATTAGGAGTATTTTGAAAGTTAAGTAATTAAATTAAAAAAAATAAACTTCAATGACCAAAATAGGAGTGAGAAGATAGTTAAGGGATGAATGATGTAATTTACCCATAAAATATTATCAAGTTGTAACAATTTTGTTAAGTTTTTAATGGTGGGTACTAAAATGAAACAAAAACTAAACATTAGGTATGATTTTAAAAAGTTAAAAGTTTAGATACTAAAATAGATCAAAATTGATAGCTTACATATTAAACGTATAATTTACTCATTTGAATAACCAGTATATGTAAGAGTAATCTACATAAATGATCAGTGATATTTAAGTAATTTTTTCTTTGTTTACTAATATTTCAAAAGTAATAATTTGGTCATTGACGATCTCAATTCATAACAAATGTGTCACTCGTGATTACTAAAAGTAACATAATACTAATGTAGAGCTTTATAGAATGATTTCTTAGCAGCTTGGAGAGCTTAACAATCTTGCAACATAAACATTTTATCTTCCATGACTTCTTTTGTTAGCATCTTATTTATGTACTTGAGCATTTAGATGGTAAAAGGATTTTATCTAGGGTGTTATTTTGACTCAAACAGGTGAACTAAGGTTCAGACTCTCTTTAAATTCATTAATATGATCAGTTAACACGATTGTTTTGCGTGATCAAACGGTGTCTGGTCAATCAGTTTGATATGTCACATCAATATTTTGTTACCCCTAATAATGATTATTAACCGTAAGTGATCAATTTGTTATAAATGCAATAACATTATTGATCAAATCGTTAGTGGGGAAAAGGAAATTTCACTCAAACATCAGTGACCATTTATATAGTTTATCTTATATATAATATTTGTTCAATTATTTGACAATGAGCGTTTAAACATCCTGGCATATTTCGTGTTCAAACCTAAAATTTTAATAGAACATTATTTAACTACTGAGGTCGTTTGGTTCATATATGAACAATTGGTTTGATGTATACTACGCTAAATTCGGATTTGATTCCTAGACAAACTACCTCTTTTGTGAAACCGTAAACCCCTCATTTTTCTACAGGAAAAGAAGAAATTGCTATAAATAGAAGAAAATTAACTAATTCCTATTGAAAAAACGATGTTCAGATTCAGACAAGCTTCCATGCTTCACTTTTAGTTTTTTCTTCTTCTTCTTCTTCACTTTCAGGAGCATTGCCGCCGGAAACAATGGTTTTTTTTTTAGCAATTGATTTCTATGTTTTTTTGGGTCATCTGTTACTTAGAATATTGGTAAGAAAACATGTGTTTTTGTTGTTGTTGGAATGATTACAGATGGATCCGAGCAATGGGCCTTCACATTACGTGAGGCTTGGAAGAGAGAAAGATCCCGTCGAAGACATCACCCCCGGCGAACTCAATCAGCCTGTCACTGTTCCTCAGGTAGTTGCTATATATATACACTTTTTTTTTTGTCTTAATCATCATTATTGATGGAAAATTATAATAGTGATATTCATCCGTTCTGATTTGAACGTAAAATCCTGATTAACGATTTCGATACACTAAAAAAAGGATATATGATACGAAGAGAAAAAAAAAGGTTCATAATTGATAGGATAGCTCCCTTCTCTAACAATGCATAGTGATTTATATATCGGACTTTAATATTGGTATAAACTTTGGTTATATGTTGATCAGTAGGATCAATGACGGATCCAATCTTAGGCCTACCTAGGTCATGGTCCTTCTATGCCTTAAAAAAGGGTAAATTATTTATTTTATGTTTCGTCATATAATTATTGTTTATTTTAAATCACACTTAATTTATGTTTTAATTCTGTTTTGGTCACTCATCTTTAAAAATTCAGCAGTAATATTAACGTGTCATAATAAAATAATGTCATATAATGATTGAAAAATAGTTAAACAAAAATGTCATATTAACATCGTTAATTTTTTTAATGGTGAGTGATCAAAATAGAACCAAAATGTAAAGTTAGCTATGATTTTTAAAAAAAAATAGTTGAGTGACCAAAACATAAATTAAGTAATTGATAGGTGACCAAATAGTTAGTTAACCCTAAATAAAAACATGTATAAATTATGTTAGAAAATTATTTTGTCCATTTTATTGTTTTTTTCTATTTAATCCATATATATAATTGTTATTATATTTTAAAAATATTAATATATAAATTATTTTAGATAAAAAATTTATTATGTTTATATAAACCCAATCTATAATTTTTTTCTGAATATGTCACTGGATAAGATAAATAATATTTTTTATATAATAAGAATTCATATGATTATTGGATTATGAGAATCTCAAAAATAATTTTTTTTATCTCTTTACATATGATTTTAGATTGGATCAAGATTTGATTTTTATTATTAGCAGGAACAGATATTGACAAAATAATTTAAGATTATATTTTAGAAAAAAATAAAAGTTTAAACTAAAATTCCAAAAGTTTTAAGAACATTTAAAATTAATGAAACTTAATTAAAAATGTTTGAAGAAATTATAATTTATTAAGAATTTTAAAAATTGGGTAAAGTACACAAATGGTCCCTTGACTATAGAGTATTGCTTTATTGAGTCACCTGACTATTAAAAGTTACAAAATGATCCCCCGACTATAAGACATTACCTTTTTAACTCTCTTGACTATTAAATGTTAGAAAATGGTCATTCGACTATTCATTTTCTTCCAAACTCATCCTTTTTCGTTAAAAAATTTGTGGTAGTTTGAGTTAGACGTTAACATGTTGACTGAGATATGATAGTTGTTTGAGATTCTGGGATTATATTATATCATATCTTAGTCAGCAGGTTAACATCCAACTCAAACTGCCATCAATATTTTAATGGAAAAGGACGAGTTTGGAACACCATGAATAGTCGATTGGTCATTTTGTAACTTTTAATAATCAAAAGACTTAAAAAAGTAACGTCTTATAGTCAGGAGATCATTTTGTAATTTTTAATAATCAAATGACTCAATAAAACAATACCCTATAGTTGGGGGACCTTGTGTACTTTAAAATTTTAAAGGGACTGGATTAAACAATATATAAATTGAAGGATCAAATGTTAATTTTCCAATATCTTAAGGTTTATCCCCTTTAACCCAATTACTTACGCTCTGAGTATTGATTTATCATTAACTAATTTGATTTTAATTAATTTTTATAGTTAATAGTTCATAGATGCTCAGAATGTGGGCAACCCTTACCTGAATCCTATGAACCACTTGCTGATGAAGACTGGACCACTGGCATTTTCGGGTGTCTCCAAGACACACAAAGCTGTAAGATTCCAATTATTCCCATTTTTCTCTCTTTATATATATTTTTAAATAAAAACAGATATTAATAATAGAAAATAAAAGATATTTATAGACAAAATAAGAAGGTAATCTCAGTCATCTATCTAGTGGAACTAAAGAGATACTAGTGAAGACAATGACCCCGTTAAAATTTAAAAATTATAATTTAGACCCTTAAATTTAAAAAAATAATTTAGCCCCTCTAATATTTTTAGAAACTCATATTAAACTTTAAATTGTCTCTCGTAAATTTTAAAAAATTTCATTAAGCTTATAAGGATTGCAAAAAATTTAGTTAGACCCTAATTTTTTGAAAAATGTAAACTAAACCTTTCAAAATGTTTAAATTTTTTAATTTAAACCTTCGAATTTTTTTAAAGTTTAAGTTGACCTCCCAAACTCTATCATCAAGTTCCACCACTGCATCTATATCCACTCATCCAACGATTCTAAAAGGATATAAAACTAAAAATTTTACACTTGACATAAATGGATCATAATCTCACACACACACACACACACACATATAATATATATATATATATATATATATATATATATATATATATATATAATATATATATATATATATATATATATATGTATATCACTTGAGTAATTTTTAAGGTTTGTATTTGATAAATTATCATATATTTAAAGGGTTGTTTGGATTATCGTATAAGATATTTGATCTCTATTTATTAAAAAAATTGAAATTAATAATGTCATGTAGTTTAATATTAGTGTATAAATTTATGTAACATCAATGCATTTTTTTTGGGTACATGTAACATCAACGCATTAAACATTAATGATCCTTCTTAGGTCGAATGGGTATGTTTTGTCCATGTGTGTTGTTCGGACAAAACGTGGAAACATTGAGAGAACACGTAGCGAGGAACGACGCATGCTTGTGCCATGCAGTGTGCGTGGAAGGAGGAATGGCGGCGGCGGCGGCGGCCACCCTCTTCTTCCACGGCATCGATCCACAAACTTCGTTCCTCATCTGCGAGACACTCCTATTTGCTTGGTGGCTGTGTGGGATCTACAATGGCTTGTTTCGTCAATCACTACAGAAGAAATATCATCTCAAGGTATTTTTTAGGGTAAATTACGCATTTAGTACCTAAATCATCAGTTGTGATCTGTTTTAGTACCTAAGCTTTTAATTTTTTCAAAACTATACATAAAGTTTAGTTTTTATTTCATTTTAGTATCCGTAATTAGAAACTTTAGTACCTCCGTTCAAAATTTAAGTTATGTTTCAAAAAATTGAAAGTTTAGGTACTAAAACGGGCCAAAACTAATAGTTTAGGCACTAAACGTGTTATGTTTTTAAGGACATGTACTAAAATGAAATGAAAATTAAATGTTAGGTATGATTTTAAAAATTTTAGTATTAAAATGAACCAAAAGTGATAGTTTAGGTACTACATACGTACTTTACCCTTTTATCCATGAAATGAGGGTTATAAGATAGTAGTCGACCGGTTCGATTTGAAAAATCAATTTAATCAATCAATTTCTTACGTTAATTGATTAATTGATTAATTTAGATCTTAACTAAGCTAACTGAACCGTCCCAATATGATTGGTTTAGTCATTAAATCAAACCCAAAAAAATTAAATTTTGGATCAATTTTAAATATCAAGTCTTAACCGTTTTCTAATATATTATTGTCACATTATACATTGTGATTCTGTCACGTGTAAATACTAGATCTAAAAAAATAGTATTTTCCCCCCTAAAAATATCATTTGACAACAATGTAATGTGACATGTGATATCAATTGATCCATCAATATAGTCAAAAGATTCGAATTGAAATTTTTTTAAAACATAAGTTTAACTGAATGCAAAACTATTCAAGAGCTTAATTATTTTTTCTTTCAAAATTTTGAGTTAGTGTTAGCTTATAAGTTTAATTTTTTTCTCAACAAATTAACTTTATTAAATATAATAAGTGTCTAAAATCGAATTATATGTATCGTTAAAAACTTTCCTAATCTTAATTAAAAGAAAATAGTACACATAATTAGAAATTAGGCTAGATATAAAGATCCAAAGCAAGTAAAAGACAAAATACTCTTTTTTCAATCAAATTGTAGTCATTATTATCTATCTTAACATCGAATGAACTTCAATCTTAAAATTATCGATACCACCACTAACATTTGACTAAATGGTAAATAGTAACTTTAACCATTATTTTTTAGAATATTTTGGCTCAAACATTTTATTTTAAGATAAAAGATCCTTATTTTGTAACATTTATTTTTTATTAACTAATGATTTCCATCCACAAAAGGACATTTTTATCCCAAAATAAAACATTGAAGTCAAAATACTATATAAAAACAAAAATAAAAGTGACTATAAAGTTAAACATTACGAATATTTTATTATTATTTTATAACTTCGAATCCTTTATACTATTTTTATTTGAAAATCTTAATCCTTTTACAACCGGTTGCATGTGTGCGCGCATGCATTGTTGTATACAGGACTCGCCATGCGATCCTTGCCTTGTTCACTGCTGCTTGCATTGGTGTGCATTGTGTCAAGAACATCGAGAGATGAAGAACCATATAAACGATGACACCGAAATGCCGATCACCATTATTAAGCCTCCTCCGGTTCAAGAAATGAACATGGCCGCCGATGAAGATAATCGAAAAGATGATCGACCAACCGCTTCATCTTCGTCGCCCAAGGCCAAGTCTCCATCGACGGCGAAGAATCAACAAATTGCAGAGTTGGAGATACAATCACTCTAGTATTTTTCTCTTTATTCTCTTGTAAGCATTGAATTCATTGATTAAGGACATGGATATTTTTTAAGTATATTTTTGGTAGAAAATACTTGTAGAGACTATTTTTTAATTATCTCTTTTCATTAAAATAAAAATCTATTATCTCAATATGATTTTAAATAAAAAAAATATTGTAAATACTAATAATGTTTTATGTTAAAAAAGATACTAATAGTATTCGGATGAGAAATTTCGAGGAAATTTATTTTTATAAAAAAAATTAAAATCTTAAAACTTAAAAATTTCGAGGAAATTTATTTTTATCAAAATTTACTAATAATGATTACCAACAACTAGTTGGTCTAGTGGAATGAGACATTATGTCCCTTAAGCAAAGATTAAGGTTTTAAATCCTAATGTTTGCGAATGAAATAAATTAAATATGTATGAATATAAATGGCTCATGTATAAAATGAGTGCAAAGGTAAAATGAAAATGCTTATGATATATAATGCCTAATATAATAATATTATTGTAACAAATTGAATTTTTTTAGATGATGTTAGAGCGTTAACCTGAGTATTGGGGATTATGTTACTTCATGATTTTCATGGCACATTTGTTAGGTTTGTGCATGTTGGGTGTTGTTATGTAAAATATGTTGTAATAAAATTTATTAAAATAATCCTTACCTCATAAGACTTAGAAAATGATGGAGGATTGTCTGACGAAGGACTCTCTTATGGAGGATTGTGTGACGAAAGATACTATCGAAAGACAACTTAACCCTAGTCGTTCTCTCCCTCCCCCTTTGCCCTTTTTTTCCTTTACAATTTGTGTCATTTTTATAGATCAAATCAATTTTTTATTCTTTAATTTTGTTTAGTCGACGGCGATACCAGTTTTGATGTTGGTTGTCGATCGTCGGTTGTATTTTCTCTTTGTTTTTTTTAATTTTTTAATAAGAACAATTATGTCTTTGTAACACGTTTATCTCTGCCTTTTGGTAGTTTTCGGTTGTTTTACCATTATTTTCATATCTTTTTTTATCTCAGGGTTGAATTTGACATCACCACAATTTATCAAGATAGTGTTAATTTGTTATCATGTTGATATTCTCTGTTTTGGACCCTCAGTTTGATTTGGATACTCGTTTTGGTTCATTGAGAGTTTTCTCACGTCGCTTGACTCTGATTTACAATTTATCGATGGTCTTTCAATAGTTTCATCCATTTTGTGATTCATTTGCTGATGCAGTTAGAATTGTTTGTATATTTATTTTGTTCGAGCATTTTGGTTAGATTTTTTAACATTTTCATTCTTTGGTTCTTATATAATTTACGTGACTAGTTTTTCTGTATATAATTATAAGAAAATATCCTAATTATAATTTAGTTTACATTTACTGTTATGCTTGTAAATCTTTATTGTAATTCTAGATTTTTTTTTTTTAATAAAACTAGCGCATTATGTAAAAAATAGAAAAAAAAAAGTTATATGTGATCACATTACGCTTTATTATTAGTAAATTTACAAGTAGACCACTAGATAAATATTAATAATCAGTTCATGTGCTTGGGCAATGTCGGGATATGATTGTAATAATTGTTTTTTTGTTAAAGTATACAAATGGTCACAAACTATAGGATATTATTTTATTGAGTTTATTAACTATTAAAAGTTGCAAAATGGTCCTTGAATTATAGCGAGTTGTTTTGTTGAGTCACTCGACTATTAAAAGTTATAAAATGACAGTCGACTATTCATTATGTTCCAAACTCGTCATTTTCCATTAAAAATTAACAGTCGTCTGAGTTGGACGTTAACATATTGACTGTGATATGCTAATCCTTTTAAATTTTGAAATTAGATTTTATCATATCTCAGTCAACAAGTTAGCGTACAGCTCAAACTGCCGTCACTTTTTAACGAAAAAGGACGAACATAATGAATAGTCAGATGATCATTTTGTAACTTTTAATAGTCAAGAGACTCAACAAACATTACAACAAAATAGGTTTTTAGCGGTGTTTTTTTAGTCATATAGCAACGTTTTTAAGCGTCGTTAAAAACATTTGTGGCGAAAAAAACGCCACCAAATGCACCGTTAAAACCAATGCCGTAAAAGTAGCGTCATTTTCCGTCTACAAACGCCGCTAAAGGTTATGAGTTTTAGTGGCGTTGTTTTCATAAATGCCGAGGCGGAGGAGTCTTGTGCTTCGACTAGTAAAGAAGAGGATACCAAAAGGAATACAATGAATTTTGTCGCTCCTATTGCATGTAGGGTACCGATAGAGAAACCTAAGGGCCTTGCCAAAGGGGTATTCTAGTGCAAAGCATGCAAGAAAGTGTTCAATTCGCATCAAGCATTGGGAGGACATAGGGCTAGCCATAAGAAAGTTAAGGGATGCTTCGCGGCCCAGCTCGATCACATTGATAACGCTCAACTCGACGAAGACCACGAAGAAATCCTCCCGACAAAATCGACATCCACTTCCCAATTCGGTCAAGGAACAAGCACTCCATCACCGGCCTAGACGTCGAAAAAGAAACCGAAAGTACACGAATGTTCGATATGTCGTCGGGTTTTTAGGTCCGGACAAGCATTGGGGGACACAAAATGTGTCATTGGGTCACATCAAATTCATCCGGTACACCATTTCTGGCCAAGTTCCATAGGTTTCAAGATCATCAAACCAAGCACATGCACCAAAAACCGAAACTCATCGATCACAACTCTAATCAATTGCTCGATCTTAATCTCCTTGCTTCGACCAATCTCGATCTCGCACGGCAGAACCACGCAGACCCATATCGACAGCCATGGATAAGGATCGAACCCAAAGAAAAGGCCGCCATTGACAATGATCTTAGTAGTTCATTACAAAACGCAGATGATGAAGCTGACAGTAAGGTGAAGTTAGCATAACTAAGTGGAAGTTCTTCATCTCCATGGCTGCAAGTTGGGATTGGTTCAACAACTAATGTTGGTTCTAACCCTTTAAAAAAACATCATGACAAATATTGTTATTCATATTTTTATTTCAATCTTTTAGAAAACATATATAATTTGTATTTATATATATATTTAAAAGTAACTGTAATTACAAAATAAAACATGATTTTTTTATGTTGACAAGTAATAGATACCACATATCATGTATTTGTATCATGTTCCTGTATTAATATGGATAGTAGTATGAATTTATAAGTTTAATGTTACGTGAAACCTATCAAATGACCTCAATAATTAAGAGGATTGTTGTTATCCCTAAAGGTTCTAAGAGCAATTTTATATATATTATTGATAGTTAAAAAAATTCTTATTCTCTTAATAGATCATAATTAAATACAACAATGGATCGTTTAAAGCCTTGAATATAAACATTTATTTTCTCATTGTGGAAAACCTTACTACAAATAAATATTTTGTAAAAGTAATAGATAATTATTTGATAGGTTAGGATTAAGTTTTTTTTCCCTAATCGACCTTTTTTATATATATAAAGGTGGTTATAAAGTAATATCCATTCTATGAACGCTCAATTAACCTTGCTGTGGTTATTAATGTTTGAACCTCAGATCTCTAAGAATAAAAATTATTACTTTAGCCATTGAAATAATTTGATTTGTGCTTCCCATAAACAGATTCGTTTATAAGATTTTAGTGACATGTGAGTGAACATAAAAATTAGATCCCTAATAATAAGTATCGAAAAATTGAATCTTAAGAATAAGCATAACTAAATAAATTTTATTTATAAATTATTTTTTTATTATATTTAATAAATTATCTAATAAATACATCAAATTATAAATAGAAATCGTCAAGAAATTTTAGGACGACTTATGTTAGATTTTAACCTACTCCATCTTATCAAAAAATAATAAAAGAATAATTAAGTGAAAAATAAAAAATATCATATTAGCATTGCCATTAATTTTTTTAATGGTGGGTAACAGAAAAAGACCAAATATAACTTGAAGTAGGGGTGTGCATTATCGAATATCAGATATTATCCGATCCGAATTTTTGGATATCCGAAAATTTCGGATACCTAAAATAATGATATGTATCCGAACTGAAAAAATCGGATATCCGAAATTTCGGATCAGATATCCGAAATTTCGGATCAGATATCCGAAATATCCGGATCCGAATCCGTTTTTTTTTTTTGCAAAAAAATCAAAAAAAAAATTAATAAAAATTAAAATATTCATATTTAGTAATTATATTATGACACACTGAAGAGCTTCTGGACCGGAGTGGAACCCGGTATAAGCTTCGTTCACGTTTCTCACCCTCCTTTTCTCGGGGGGTAAAGTAGCGATTCAGTTTGTCCATTGTCGTCAAAGTTAGTTTTCGACATTTTGTCTGCACGAGCTCTGCGAACAGCATTCTGAATCCGTCGCTCGTGCTCTTTAAGCATTTCCTCAAGGTTCCCTCCACAAGGCAACAATGGTCCGGAAGAATGGATTCGGTTATTCATGGAAACGTAACCCTAGATTCACAGACAAGATAAGTGTTAGTAACTCCAGACAGTTGAAACTGATAGATTTTGTTGTCCATTATGCCATGAATACCGTAAAAGCAATTGTTGCAAACTATCACATGGAATCAGTTTTCACAAGAATGGATATCGAATCTATCACTAAACGAAAAGAAAAAGGATTCTTGGCCAAAAAAAATTCGGGTTTTCGGATAATCTGAAAATGGAATTTTATCGATCCGTATCCGATCCGATTATCCGGAAAAATTTTCGAATATCCGATCCGAACTATCCAAAAATTGAAAAACGGATCGGATCATGTTTTTTTACACACCCCTGACTTGAAGTATGATTTTGAAAAGAATAATAATTAAACAATCAAAATAGAAATAAAATAATAAGTGAGTGACTTAGGAGCATTCCGGAGGACCAAAGAGTTTTCATAGGGGGAGACTTCAATGGCCATATAGGTAGTGCAATCGACGGGTATGACAGTGTTCATGGGGGTTTCAGTTTTGGTAGTAGGAACGAGGA